GAGCTGGCAAAGCTGGGCTAACAATGAGTTAAATCAAGCTGCCACTTACCCATCTCGTTATGCTAACGTAAGCAAAGGAAATATGTGTACTATGGGTGCCACTATTGGGATGGGGGAAGAAGATTTATTCAAACCTTATACTCTGGAGGTCAGAAATTCCCATGTTAAGAGGGTAAATGAGTTTATGATTTCCCTGCCATCTTCCCTGAGTGAAAAAAATCACCATGTTTTAAAAGAAATGGAAGGCCATGTAGAACTTATCAGACTTCGAGATAACTTGCTTGCCTATTTTAATTTATTCTATATGGAAAGTTTACCAGGAAGCCTTTGCATGATGTAATTAACCCTGTTTGTGTGGCTTGCCTGAAAACACATTGACAGTTGGCCATTACAGAGTTGCTTATCTCATCAGAGAAGCAGTCATCTCTTTCAAGTTTTGTTTCTTGTATGTGGTTTGCATTGCTGAAGAGACTGGCTGCTTTGACACGCTGCACTAGTAATTTGTGAGATACTAAGTGAATTAAAATTTAGAATTATTATTATATTTTTTAATTAACCCTTTCTCTCTCTGAACCTCCTTAGTAATTCTCCTTACTATCTGCCATTCAATTCTCATGATGTTCAGTCTGAGAATTTGGTGCTGGATCAACTGATAATTGTCTTGTTGATATTTTTCTTTATTCTCATCACTTGTCTGCTTGATATGGTAAGGAGAAATTCTGTCTTGGTCATTAATAAAAGTTACAGGGGTGACCTTTTCTCTCCCTGGAGTGACCAAAAATGAATTTCTCCCGCAATATTATTACATTTTCAATCAGGAAGGTGATTAGAGGAAAGTAAAATATCAACTTAAGGATGTTAATTGATTAAATACCATTTTCTCCTCGCTAAAACTTTAAGAAATGCATGGCAGACCGTGTGGAGAATTTATATTTAAATCTCTGGAGTGCAAGGGTTGAAATGTCTAACTACATAAGCATGTTATATTTGTTGCAAACTAATTGCTTTGTATAGGAGGTGAAGGCACGGAAATTTTTTGTAAACCATTTCAGATAACTTTTTTTGTAAAATGCTGTTATTTTGAGATAAATTTAGAAACATTATTTAATCTTTCGCTTTTTGGGAAAGAGCATAATGTTATTTCAAATGGAATTGTTACAAGTTAACTTGAAAAGCACTATTTACTAAAACTAAGTTTAGCCGTTGTTTAACAAAGCCTCGTTCCAAGCCATCTCCAATTTGACCAAACCTTTAATACGAAAATTTATTTTTATGAAAAGTGTCAAGAGGGCCGGCCGAAAGTTAGAAAGAATCCCGGAGGCCCGATGCCTGCGTGTAAGCGCGGTTTGGATAAGATGTAGAGATACGATACTACGGCCCCTGGTGTCAAATCCTGAATTTTTTCCTAGCTTCGTTTCTGTTGCATAAACTGCAAGTCACTTTTGAGGATTATTTCTTCTCTTGACTTCATCCACAGCTCAATTGAAATTTATCTCGTATAAAATTGTGTATGGTGAAATTCTGGTTATTTACCTAACAAATTAAAGTTATTTCTTGTGTGGACAATGTTTCTCCTAAATGTAATTAATTTATGAATCAAGTAAGAATTTAAAATGTTTATAAATATATTTTGAATTGTTCCGACATAACTATTTTCTGGAACATTATTGCACCAATGATTGTTAATTATTGTCAAAAGGTATTGTGGCTAGAAATCGAATTCTAAAGGAGAAAAATTTAATGTAAAGCCGTCGAAGTATTTTAGATGCTGTTCTGTGGTGAGTTTTTCAAAGTATGATTTGTTCTTAGCCTCGTATAATTGCCGTGGAAGAGTGTAGATTTAGCATGCAGGTATCCCAGGAGAAGTGCTGTTAGGGTATTGCACAACGAACTGCGCGAATGACCAATTTTCAAACATTTCTTTTTACCTTGCGGTAATGGGGGTCCCTTTTTTAACGCAAACAGCGAGGTGAAGGTGTGATATCAGTTGAGTCTCGGAGAACAGATTTTAAACCTCGTCACTGGATTAATCAAAATGAGGAAATGCATAGTCTCTCACGTATCATGCTCTCTGGTGCTACTACTGTTGTCATGAAATATCTAGAACGGTTCCCGTGACAGTCACGCATTTCAAATGATCACGCAATCCTGAGAAACTGCAGCATGACATTGCACTGTCGAAATTCATATTCGTCAAATAAACGTTTACTTCATTTAGAAATAGTTAGAGCGTATCACAAGCACAAGTGAAATGCCTTATGTTTAATAAAGAGTTGTATTTAGCGTGAGTATGAGTCTGGAATTAATCTTTTCTCCCTAATGTAAAAGGTTTTTGAGCACACAACCTATAAATATACCGTTTGAAAGGACGAGTTCCCGTCTTTTGTGAGACGCGAACTTAGTACACAGCGTACGCGAATCTTTTCTTGTTCCGTGCCCTCTCAACTAGACGCGAACCATGTACACGAGCAAACTAATTTAGATAAGAAATGCGCTTTCTGTCTATTTGTTTACCTGAAGAACAACGTTCTCCCATGTTGTGCTTTTCTCTAGGAGACCAAATTCATGCTAAAGAATTTTGGTGAAAAAAGTAACTTAAAAAAAACAACATTTATCCTTACCTAGATACTGAAGAGTATCAGAAAGCCCGCCCTCCTTGTTGTTAGTTTTCCCATTTGCTTTGAGACAAGCCGTCGAAACAGCTGTTCAACGAGGTGCCTTTTGCAAAGGGACAAGTCACTCCTTCGACTCCTCTGGCGATAAATAATGAATCGTCCGTAACTTCTTGACAACGAACTGAGAATGCTTCTGTCTTCTGATGTTTATGAACTTCAAAAGGAAAATTCTAATCACTGATGTGTCAGAAACACGCTCAGATACTTGAAGCGCAAAAGATGTTTCTTATTTGTTATTTTTTTCGTACAGATCCCACCGCTATTGGTGTGGACTTTTCTGGTTCACTAGTTTCGTTTCCCAGACAGTCTTGGTAAAAGTGAAGGAAAATACTTTTGCTTTTAATTTCTTTGGATATCAAAAAGAGATATAATATTATTTGATGAATCACGAAGATAGCGGAAACAGCAGGAAAAGGACGCAGTCTTTGAGGCATTCAAAGGATTTTTCTAGGACAGTTTTTCATCTTGCAGAGGAAATTGATCCTTTGTAATTTCATTCATTTTAGTGACATTTAAAAATTCATGAAGATCGTTTAAAACAATTTAAGTGTCTGGCTTGCTTAGCGAAAATTATGCTCCTTAAAAAAAATTAGTAAACTGTCGGTGTGAATATACTTTTGGCATCGATTTAGAGACTAGCTTTGTAGTGCTTAATCAGAAGAGCGAGCCTAATTTCATAATCATCATTATATAAGATAATCCTCATCACAACAAGAAAGAGGATCATCGTTCAAGTAGAAGGAGGTAATAATTTCGGAGAAAGCAATCCTCTAAAACATTAAAAAATCGCTAGAAAATTCGGCGAAATGATATAGAAAATGATCACTCACGTTCGAAAGTCGATGCGTAATACATTAATCGTAACATGTGAGACTATTACAGGAACCGATGAAACATCAATTTTGCTCTCAGTATGAAATCCGCCACATGTCCGATTGCCAAAGCGTTGAGGTAGAAAGAGTGGGTGTTACTCTGCCAGCTTACTAGAGTCTCCCTGAACAATTTTGGCTCCTGGATACCTGACGTTTTCTCCTAGTTCGTGACATTAAATGTCTCCAGGAATCTCTTAAAGAAAAGCTTTAATCCACATATATCGAAATTTAATTGAGTGTCTTCGCACCATATCTGCTAACCCAACTTCAAGAGATTTTCCTCTGGCACACGCCATATACAGTAGAGAAATTTAGAATATTTTTGTTTTTCTATTCACTACGGCTACAAACGCTGAGACTTTTTTTTATTTACTGGAGATATTTAAACAGATAGGATGGAAGGGATTCTGTGCGATGGTTCATAACTGTCACGGCAAAAGAAATAACCCCACAGCAAACGAACAAGACTCACGGCAAAAGAAAAAACCTTACGGCAAAAAGGAAAATACTCACGGCAAAAGAAAAAACCTCGTGACAAAAGAATAACCTCAGGATAAAAAGAATAACCTCACGATGAAAGTAAAAGACTCACGGCAAAAGGAAAAACCTCACGGCAAAAGAAATAACAATGTCCTCACTGCATGTTTTCTTTTGCCGTCAGTCTTCTTTCTTTTGCCGCGAGGTTATTCCTTTTGCCGTGACAGTTGTGGGCCACCATAATACTGGATAATTTATTCACGATATTTCTGGCCTGCTCCCGTTATTATAGAAACACTTTTTTTTTTAAAGTGTTAAAATATTAATAATGGTTGAAATGTTTTAAATTACGGTTAGAAAACTCATTTTCGCTGATTAGTGGTGGATTAGTTCTCGTCTTTTACGCAAAATAAATATCGGCTTTGAGGTTTTTTTTTCCAACGTAATCAAGAGAAAATACAGGACTGCATAGGTATTATAGTAACCAAGAATCGAAATGATAGTCTTTAGTGTCTCGCAGAAAGGAGCTGTCTCGCTGTCGGAGGGAACTGAAATTTGTCACGCTATGTCGAAATCTTTTGAAAATAGATGCAAATTTTATTTTCACTTTCGGAAGTCTAAATTGATCTGGCAATTGACTTAGCGCATATGAAAAACGAAGTACTTTTTTGGGTCAATATGCTGAAGAAAAAACGGTAACGCCGTAAGAGTCCAACCGATGTGCGCAGTAAGTTTGTTCTCTCCAGGAGTTCAAGTTTTTTTTTCATTCAAAAACGGTAGTGGCAGTTATTTAAAACAACGCCTTTCAAAATTGTAAAGAAATCATTACATCCTTTGCATTGTGAAAACAAACAGAGACAATATCCCTTTGTAAGCCTTGCCTGGGAACGCCTAATGTCAAAATATCAAATACACCAGACTTTTGATTAACTAAAAACTTCCCAATGTTTTATTAAAGGAAATAATATGCCACTGTTTATTGTTCGCCCTCAGCTAAGAATAAAGCGAGAAAAATATTAGTTGCCCTTAACTCAGCAGTCCTTAATTTGAAGCGCCGCAATATTTATAACTGTAGCGGGAACATGCTGCAGTTAGGCTCTAAACCACAGCAATGATTCACAACAGTTTCTGAATTTCCTCAATTTAGTGTTTTTCGCTGACTTAATAATCGAATTCTAATCTACGGTAAGGGCATCGAAGAAAGAAAAAAAAGCGCACACTGTTTTTTACCCCGCTAAAAATAGTTGAAATAACCCCCCAAATTTTCACGCTGCAGCAGAAATTAAAATTGCAAATGAACCTTCGCAAACCTTGAATTATGAATTTATCGATAGGAAAATATCAATGGGTAATGTGATTCTCGTAGTTTTTCGTTCAGACAGTGGTGTATAAAAAAAAGCTTGATGTTTTTCACTGAGATTCAAGTTTGTAGCTTAGCAAGTGGTGAGATTTCACACCACCAAAGTTTGTATTTCTCTTCGTCCTGATCGGTGGGCCATTTCAGAAATTAAAAGCACCTGCATCCAGTTCCAGATGATAGCGATCTATTTTCCTCTCACAAGTCGTACTGGAACTTGGCAGAGATCCCTTATGTTAATTGTTCCTAAGTATCACGCTGTAAAAAGATCCGTTCAATTTCCCAGTATATTGTCCTGGTGTTAGGTACTTTACAAAGGAATGTCTTCTGTCTCCTCGTCCGAGATCTCCTCATCTAATTGATTATCTCGAGTATATTTTTTCCCGCAGAATCGATTAAACACGGCAACGAACACGAAGGAAAGAATTAAGAAAATAAACAAATGCCACGCGAAAGCGATCGGCAACACTTCAACATTTTTTGGAGTGTTTTTCCAAGGGTTGGGGCCATATAGAACAAAGGCAATTTGGTAAAACCAAGACCCTTGCACAGCTACCAAAACAGCCCTTATTAGCGAGAGCAATGAATGATGTTGCGTAAAAAAGACATCAGCCAGAAACAAGGCCGCTGTGATGAAAATCACGATGTAGAGAATGACGTGTAAGCGGACACTTATTTCTGATTGGCCTTGAAGGTGAAAATAGAAGAGAAATCCTTCGATCCAGAAACTTGCTGATATGATCACATAGTCAGTCATCGGCGGTAGAGGAATTACACCATACCACATCACAAGATCAACCACACCTGAGAGGCCGAAGAAACAATACATAGCGGCATGGCTATGATTATTGATGTTGCCTTCCACGATTTCTCCATTTTTGCCGATCAGTCTCCATGACTGGTGCAAGAAAAGCTCCCCGAGAACCCCCACAAACGCACAGAGCACCTTAAAAATGGGTTCCAGTGGAATTTTCGAAAGAGTCTTTCCGGGACATGGGTACCAGACAGGTGCGTGGGTTTTTAATCTCGCGCACGTTGTACCGCTTGAGCGAAGCAAACCTCGTCTAGGTTTCGTGTTCTGATGCTTTCGAATAAGAGTACCGATGAAGAACCAAATGGAAAAGATTAGAAATATAGACCCAGGCACTGCGTGACCGATGAAGCTCCCCATTATTTTCAAGACACATGTACTAGAGACTGATGTCGAATCAAGGGCAGTCAAGAGCGTTTTTATATCCACGGACCAATGTTATTATGGATTCTCGTGTCACGGTGGTTCGTTGGTATGCGCTTTCCTCCCATAGCGTCCCTGTCGTCACGTTCTCCAACAGGCCTTTGTTGTTTTCGCGTTCGATGGCTCAGTAGCGGTGGAGATATTGAAATTCGCTGCTCGGCAATACAATAAACAATATGAATACATTTACATCTTACACATTCCCAACATTCCAGTTATGGCTTTCTAATAATAAAGCTTGCATACGCTTCCGTTTGGTAACGAAAAGCGAGTTTTAATCAGTCCCTTTCTGAGACAAATTCCTGGTTTAAACGCTATCTAAAAAGGTCAAAATCGTTACTTTCAGGGGTAGGTATATTCTTCCCATACTTAAGTATGTTTTTGATTTCGAGACCCCCCCTTAGGATTGTGTTTTCGAGGTGAAATCGTTTAAGAATGTGAATTTGGCGCGTTGTGAGGGGGAAATCCATCCTGGGTAATTTTCTATTCTCGTTGTATCCTACCTATCACAAATAAAAAAGCTTTATCGTTATATGTAGACTCGGAGCAACTTCAGAATACCCCGCCACTCATTTACATGTCATTGATTAATAGATAATTACTGAGGTTCGCAGCATTATTGGGTATAATGCAGGCAGCTGAGGCCGCAGGCCGAAGCTGCCTGCATTATACCCAATAATGCTGCGAACCTCAGTAATTAACTATTATAATTATTGACCCTCATAAAATCCTATTGTTCTCTCTCTGCATTACATCGACGATTTCAGTCGCCCCTTCATATTGATGTTTTGGTACACCAACAATGCAACTGGCAAGCATTGTCCAGTAATAATACAAATTGCATAATCCTTTTTCATTCCCCAATTCAGCCATTGTTAACTACTTGCAAAGATGATATAATCATTGACTCTCATGAAATCCTACTATTTTCTCTCTCCAACAATGCAATTAGCACGTATTGTCTAGTAGTTATACAAATTACATAACCCTTTTCATTTCCCGGAATTTAGTCATTGTTAAATCCTTGTAAAGATTATGTAACTTTCCACATCTTTCAGGTGTGTGATTGAATTTCATGCAAACGTAATTTGCATTGTATATTAACGCAATGCACTTGGTTATTTGAGTTGTTTGTTGGAACGCAAAGAGTTGCTACTGTTTTGAAGCTTGATGGAGGATTCTTCGGAAGACGAATCTGCCATTTTCATAACGCAGAGCCAGAGGTCGGAAAATGTCAAGGAAAAAAATGAAAAACTGTTTAACAATGATGTTGAGCAAAAATATGATGGACAAAGGGAAGAAACAGGGTTACAGGGGTTAAGCGAAAAGGTTTTAGACGAAAACCAGAGCGAAGATTATAATCAGTCAGTTGTAATTAGTACTCACAGTACGAAAATTGTTATTTCTTACAAGTGAGAAAGACCGTCATTGTCAGATGTGCCCTAAATAAACTGTAAAATGTTTTCGTCTGTACGTCTCCTGGAATGGTACTTCTCATGGTGTATTCATTTACTTTTTAACTTCAGATCTTCATCATAAATTATGCGCGGACATTCGCGAATTTTCAAAAATTACTGAGTGGAAAAGTAACGAAGTAAATACCACAGTCATGCAGCAATATTAAAAATATTGCTGGAAGCAGGCTGCATTATTAAAAATATTGCAGTGCAGCCAGCCCACTGCAATATTGAACGTTTTAGCGCGTTTAGGATTACCCCTGATAATTTCCCTGCTACCAAAAAGGACCGCCACCGTTTACCTCAGACAGTTGGACTTGACTGAATATGAATACTTTCTCAGGCTGAAATCGCCGATATAATGCTGAGAGAGAACAATAGGATTTTATGAGGGTCAGTAATTATATTAGTATAGCGTCTATTGTGTTATGCCTCGATCTTCAAAGCCTCCCGACACATGTAAGTGAGGCGGACCAAAGTGGCGGGGTAAACTTCAGAAGCCCTCAAGTTACTAACGACTCCTCGCCTGAAAACCTCAAAACTGTAGTTACCATTCCAGAAAATTTACTACTTTCCGATTCAGAAAAATCAGTTCTCAGCAAGGGCTTAAATTTTGTTCCCATATCACAAAAAACCGACGAATTTTCAGTTAAGCAAGACGTTGAAAAATTCCTTCGCCGCGTTCAGTTGAAAGCCTTTTTTCATGACAAAGAGGATGATTCTAACACCTCCAAGAAAAATACTTGCGAAACACTCCAGACTCAAAAGTCTAAATGGACTCCCCCAGAGGGCCAGTTCTCATCTTTAGATTTTTTCCTCAAAAAATGTCGCCACGATATCAACAAACTTAAATTCAATCGTAACACCAAATTTTCCAATCTTTCTTCGGAAGAGTGGTCGGCACTAAAAAGTCTAAAAAAACGCAAAGACATTGTCATTGAGGCGGCCGACAAAGGCGGCGCAGTTGTTGTTTGGCGGGCCGACCTCTATCAAAAAGAAGCTTTGCGGCAACTTTCTGACACCTCCTTTTATGCCAAAGTCGACAAAGACCTCACTTTAATTAACCAAAACATTGTCAAAAATACGATTAAGGATCTTAGAGCTAAACAAGAATTGCCGGTCACTGCTAAAAATCTCATCATTACTACTCCTAGAACTTCGTGTATTTACTTTTTACCTAAAATCCACAAACCTAACAACCCAGGTCGACCCATCGTTTCTGCCTGCAGTTGTCCCACTGAACTTATTTCCAGCTATTTAGACAAAATTATGGCACCTATCGTCAGAACTCTACCGTCTTACATTAAGGACAGCCAACACGCACTTGAAATTTTTCGTGACTTTAGTTTCCTCGACCAAAACAAGCTAATTTTTTTCATGGATATAACATCTCTTTACACTGTCATTCCCAATGACGAAGGTCTCCGGGCCCTCAAACATTTTTTTGATTTACGCACCGTTAAGGAACCTAGCTCTGAAACACTACTCCGTCTGGCCGAACTAGTACTCACACTCAATTGTTTTTCATTCGGTGGTAACTACTACAAACAAACTAATGGCGTGGCCATGGGTACTAAAATGGGACCCAGCTACGCCAATCTTTTTGTAGGTTTTATCGAACATCAATTTCTTAGCCAATACCACGGCCCAAAACCTCAACTCTACGGCCGCTACATTGACGATTGCATCGGCGCTACCTCTTCTACCAAGGAGGAGCTCACTCAATTTATAACCGCCGTCAATTCCTTCCATCCGGCTCTTAAATATACCTGGGAAATTTCCGACACTTCTTTGGCTTTTCTAGACATCAAAATTTCAATTGAAGGCAACGGCTCATGTACTAGTGTTTACTACAAACCTACAGATTCACATAGTTACTTGTTGCATTCATCCTCACATCCATCACACGTCAGGAACTCCATACCTTTTTCACAGTTTCTCAGACTTCTTCGTTTATGTAGTGACGACTCTGATTTTTCCGAAAAATCAGAGGCAATGTGCCAGTTTTTCGATAAACGCGGCTATCCTGTTTCTGTCGTTCAAGCGGGCTACCACCGTGCCCAACAAATCGATCGACAGGCAGCACTACAAACGGCCGAGAAGGAGAACACTGACCGCATTCCATTTACTCTTACATTTCACCCTCACAACCACGCAGTTAAATCTATCATTCTTAAAAATTTTAAATTACTCCAAAACGATTCAGAGACTGGCACTATCTTTTCGCAACCCCCACTTATTTCATTCAAACGTGACAAAAACATAGGAACTTTTTAGTCAGGAGTTCATTTCAAACCTATGACCAATCTGGAACTTTTAAATGCGCCCGCTCACGATGCAAAACTTGTCCTTTCATTCATAACGTAGAGAAAATATCGGGACCCAAAAGATCCATTAAGATCATTGATCACTTTACGTGTACCTCCGCCAATGTTATTTACTGCATAACTTGCACTTATTGCAATAAGTTATACATCGGCGAAACAGGAAGACGACTGGGTGAGGTCGTATAAATTTTGCCCTTTATTGATAAACAAGTAATCCCATGAGACCTCGTACTATTAAGGATTAATTGCACTTGAGTTTTCAAAATTTTCCAAATTTTGGAAAATTTTGAAAACTCTCGTGCAATTAATCCTTAATAGTACTTGGCCTCATGTGATTACCTATACCAATATAGTGACACCTCCACGAAATCTGTCAAAACTGAACAAAAACTGATTCTCAGAACTTCCCGTTAATTGTTTATTAAGATAATCGTCGAAGTGAAATATATCTATGTAGTAATTTTTATCTATGTAGAAGTCAGCTAAAAGAATTTTTAAAATATATTCATGAGAAACTGTTTCTTGTAAATCTTTCCCTAAGTACGCTCTTGCGTTTAGAATTGAAAATCCTCATCTAAATATTGTAAAAAACATTATCGTAGAATATTTTCAATGATGATCATGGCACAACGCAGATAGAGAAAATGTAGTAGGTGAAACAAGTCACGGATTATCCTTGTCGACAAAAGTAATATCGCCTGCTACATTATATTCAAACTTAATCTCCGTCCAATCGAGGTAATGTACAATTTTTTAAACAATTACCATATTAGAAATAACAATATATCGCTTAAAATCTGAACGTAACTGCGTTAAATTTATTTCATCAGAAATCCAGAAGATTTCCGGTGTTTTAAAATCCTCCTTTTGACAGGTTTCGTGAAGATGTCATTACGTTGTAGTTGTGATCGGCCACCCGTGAAAAGGAGGCGTCAAATGTATTTTATGGAATCTGTCACATAGGTTAGCAACGGAAAAAAATGCAAATATCTTAACGCTAATACAAAGTCATGAGCGAAAACGAAGTAAGTGTTCCTTTCTCCTCTATTTTGCGGCTCTAAAATGCGAAATAGGGCCTTCATGACAACATCGGGCGAGCTCGGATTTCGTCACCAGAAATCTACCCGAGATGACCTCTGGCGTTTTAACATCC